TGCGACTGGGTGGATAGCACACGGGTAGAGCCCTGCAAATCCTCGGATATCCACCTTAAATCTGTGGGTATCCACAGATATGGATGTGGATATCTGTGGCTCATTTTTGCAGATATGGATGTGCATATAAATGTTGTATTTAGAGCTCTACATATTTGCAGATAGCCACAGGCTTCCACATCTGTGGGAGCAGAGATCTGTGGCTCATTTTTGTGGATACAAATTTTATATCTGCTCAGGGCTGTTCACATGGGTGCAAATGAAAGCATTTTTTCTAGAGAATCCTTGCCTGCACAGATGGGGAACAAAAGGGGGGCCAGAGAGAGGGAGGTGGGGTGAGTTCAGTAAGTCACTCCCCACAGGAGCAGAAGAAAAAGGTGAAGGGGTGAGCAGGGGCAAGTGCAGTCTCTCTCAGGTCACCCCACTGGCATCTGGGAATGAAATCCCCACTCTCATTCCCTCGCCCTGGACTCCCCAAATCCCTGCCTCTAGCTGAGGCAACACACGCCCCTTGCCCTGGGCCAGGCGGCCATTACGGTCTTTGGGAATCGAGCTCAGCTACACCAGCATTCCACCGGTGAGATCTGAAATACCCGCTCCCTTCCCGCACAGAACGTCCCACCCCACTAAACAATGACCGAGGTCTGCACACGCCCCTCCACTCCGCCTATGCAGAGGGTGGCTCCCCTCTCACAAGGACCGAAGATTAACCCGCAGTTAGTGATGGCACATCTAGAGGAAACCTGGAGAACTGCAGCTCCTGCCCTGCCCAGGGTGCTGTGGGGCAGTGTGTTGGCCCAGCTGTGTAGCACCAAAACCTACCCCCACCTCCCAGCTTACCATGTATCCTACACACACATAGAGGAAGTTCCCATCCACCACAGCCCAGTGGCCACTCCATTCCTCAGCCACACAGCACTGTTGAAGAGGAGGAGGAGAACCCTTTGCCATGTTATGAAAGGGGGGGGTGCTTAGGAGGTAGCTGCTCCGGTGACTGTCCCCTGTCATCACGTTCTGGAGCACCACCTGCTTGCTGCCACTCAGTCACCCTCTGGCAGATGGAAAGCAGAGAAGGTTCAAAGTGTGGGGAGTCGTGGAAGAAATAGCACAGCAGTGTTCCCTGCTCCCTCTCCCAGCCCAAATCAGGCAATTTCTGTGTGCTCACATGGGAGGGAAAGAAGGGGGGCTGTGGGGTTAGTGCGGATGACCGGCATGAGGTACAGAGCTGGGGGGCTCAGCTCTATCCAGCTGGGTGTAGTTTGCGCTTCCTATGCAGGCCACATAGTGGCTGCCCAGCTACTCTTGGGGCAGGGCAGCTGTTACCCGCACAAATTTCTCTGTCCCTTCCACACTTTAGGGACACACCCCTTTACCCAGTTTCTAGGGCTCAAGGTGCAGCCCTGTTCATTTACACACCCACCCTTACCCAATTCCTAGGGCTCAGGGCGTAACTTCCTTCGTGTTTGAGGGATCTTTTGCCACTGAAAGAGCCTTACACAGTAATATTCTTATCCTCCATTTATTGACAATTCCCAAACAACTAGAATACCCATGCTAACCACACAGTGTCATGCTCACCAATCCTGGTAAAAGCAGGCAGACTTCCCTTGTTGGCCAGGCAAGGTCAGTCTCTCTGGATCTTTGGGTACGTCTAGACTACAGGGTTTTGTCGACAGAAGTTTTGTCGAGAGATACTGTCGACAAAGCTTCTGTCAACAAAGAGCGTCTAGACTACATTCAATTCTGTCGACAAAGCAAGCTGCTTTGTTGACAAAACCCTGTAGTCTAGACACAACCCTACATGCAATAACACCTTCTGTCGACAGAACTCTGTCGACAGAAGGCGTTATGCCTCGTAAAATGAGGTTTACCAGCGTCGACAAAACTGCTGAGTTCTGTCAACATTATGTCGACAGAACTCAGCGGTAGTGTAGACGCAGGTATAGTTTTGTCGACAAAAGTCCACTTTTGTCGACAAAACTCTGTAGTCTAGACACACCCTTAGCTGCTGCACGTCACAGTCATGCAGAGGAGGTTGTGACTTGGAGGTGAGTTAATTCCTTCCTTCCTTCCTTTCCCTTTTGCTCTTCTTGCTGGTCTCCTTCTTGGATCCCTGTTTATATAGTATAGTGAAACTTGAGTCCTGCTTAGCTGTACCGTAACCAATTATTTTAATATAATTTTACTAACCAATCATAACATACTGTAACAGAATTACCTAACCAATCATACCCCGCCACCTTAGTTGATTTACACCTAGCAAAATTAATTATACTGCAGACAGAAACAGTTACAAACCAGGCAGAGATCACACTAACAAACAATAGGAAAGTGAGGACAATAATCATAGAATGAGGATTCCACAACCTCAACTATTGATAAGCAGTTTCTTACCAGACGAAATGCTGTTAACTAAGTTTTCTCTGTCCATCTTGATATCTGTTTCTTTATCTGGTGACAGTGGGTGCCATTAGGACAAGGTCACCTTCTCACAGCCTACAGTGACACTATTTTAATGCAATTTAGATGGAATGTGAGTATGACACTGCAGGCTTTACAGTTAATGGCTGCTGCTCTTCAGTCTGGCTGCAGAAGGCGGCTTTAATTTAGGCTTACCAATATGGCTACAGGCCTTCCATCATGATTACAGAAAAATCATATTGTTACAGTGGACACTCAGCTCATAGTGCTCATCGTGGAGTAGAAGTCGGCTTTAGTTTAGGCTCTCCAATATGGCTACAGAAAAAACATATTGTTACACAGCTATCTGCCACACGGCCCCACTCCCAGGAGCAACTGGGGTGTAGCTACATGGCTTTGCTGAGGAGGTTGGTGGGACATACATTTTTGGTGTACATCCACACAGGCACAAACCTTAGAGGGAACCCTGATTGTGGGTGTTGTTGATGGTAGATTCGTTATCTCTCTGTCAACAATGAAAATTAAAGCATTTCCATTGTGATGCAAAGTGGTAGGCTAGATGATTGGCTAGAAGTTTCTTTCAACTCAAATGATTCTGCAATAAAGATTGCAGAAGTGACAGTTGCTACAAGGGGGGAAAAGGGATATTGGGTGTTATGTAGAAAAGAGGAAGATGAAAGATGGTGGCTCTAGAGTGAAGAGATGAGCAATAGCCAACCATTGAATGTGCTGGGAGGAGACTGACACAAAAAGAGGAATAGGGCTTTTTATAGCAACTCTAATTTGATACAATTTCCTTCCTGCAGTAGGCTCTCTGGCCTATTTTGCAAGTACACAACACCATGAATGAACTTTCTTTCGTAATTTTTGGCATTCATGTTTAAACATTTTGTTCACTGTTATGTCTTTGCCTTCCAATGGTGTCACAACGCAACCACTCGCTTTTCTCTGCTCTATTTAAGCCTGTGAGGTTATGGCCAATACATTCTTCTTTTCCTGAGTCAGCATCTGTTTACTCTGGATGCTTTAATCGGGTTTGCTCTTTTGGCTGCAAATCTTTCTCTGTCCATTTCCTACGCCTGTCAATAATAATACCTCAGGAACTGGGCATCAATTATAGCTATCAGAGCTATGTCAAAAGATATCTGACTCTTCATTAGAGTTACTGCATTTTCATATCTGTTCATACTGAATTTCTTTAACTATCTACAGATTTGGGAGCATGTTAGTTCTAGAGAGCTAGCAGAGGGAAACGATCTTAAATATACTATGCAGCATATTGCTTGCTCCCTTTTAGCCATTGTTTAGTAACATTTTTCCATTAAAAATACATCTGTCTTTATCACACACATTGTTGCTTCATTGTGACAGATGTATACCCATATGAGGGAACCATTTACAACTGTGGTTATGAAAAGGCTTCAAACCCAATCCATTTCTCATAAAGATCCTTGGGATAAAAGGAGGATTAATGTTCAAAAGTAAGTTAAATGAAAAACCGAGGCTGCTCAGAGGGAGATGTTAAAGACTGACTGGCACAAAAAAGTTCTTTCTGGCAAACCTCTGGAAGTTCTAAAAGAAAGGGGTCAAGCGTCATCTGCTTAAGTAATGGTCTCCAAGGCAAAGTATTGGCTGGCCAATCTTATTATTACAATGAACTATTATATGTATGTTCTATAGGCCGAATGCATCAATTATACTGATCATGTGGTTTCTTAAAAATGCTTAACTTGCTTTTTCCTCCTATGCAGCATGATAAGATATATTATAAATTAACACAATGACATACATGAACATATTTTACACCTTCTCACCTCCTTTATTTTAGGCTTCAAGGTTTAATGATTTAATTAAGAATGATTTACAAGGAAACCTTTCAGATCTGAGGGAGCGCATGCCTTTCTCTCAGAGAGGTGCTAGTCACCAAACACAGTTATGCAGAGCTGAGAAAAAGGCATTATCAGTCAATACAAAAATAATAATTCATCTTAGACTAGGAACTAAGAATCTCAGTGCAATGATACTTTTAATAATAATGCATTTTTAAACCACCAACATTTATTGCATGATGTAAATCAGAAAGTTGAAAATGGTTTAGGCTCTAGTACCACTATCATACTATTGGCCAGGAATGTTTTGCTGATAATAATAATTAGAAGCAATGTTCTTTTATGGTGAATAACTTTTAACTGTAGTTCACGTGAATGTTCTGACAGACCAAAGTATTTATCCCTGTCTGATTATTTCCTCAGAGCCAGGAGATAATTGATGAGTATTTGGAGACCTTATTCCAGGATGACCTCAGCACAGAATCCCACATCTTCACCTATATTTACAACTGGATCCAACGTTATTGTAATTACTGCTTGAACACTAACAAAGTGTCTTCTTTCCATTTTCAAATCTAAGAGTGACATCCACCTTGCCTCAGATACATATGGTCTCATTGCTTTAAAAGATAAAGCTGTAGTACAGGCACCCACAAGTGCAATAGCAACAGAGCTTAACTGGAGAGTAGGGTTGAAGCCATAATGTTTCTGAACAACCCTGCTATACTAGTGGTGCTGCTCTGTACTCACCACTTCTGTCTCTTCCTGGGCTGCTTTTCTCCCCTTTGGCTCTTGCACAAGTGCGCAGAGGTTGTAGGACAAGAAGTTCTCTCCTCCCTGCATTGCATGTTGCGTGCCCTACTGGAATGGAACGAATAATCATTTAAGAACTTATTGCAATGAGGCTATCAGATTTAAAACAGAACATCATTACATTGTTTTACTCAGCAATACTCAGGTTCCTTGCTGGGAGGGACAAAGTACCCAGATTTCCCATGTGTCTTCTGTCCATTCCAGGAGGAGATGGTTTGCATTTGGAAGCTACTGCAATAGTAGAAGATAGGGGGAAACTGGTAGGGGGTTTTTTAAACTCCAAATGGTTGTGAAAACTAAGAAAAGCAAAGAATTATTGACTTTTTTTGCTACAGTGAAAGACTCCAGCAACAGGAGAGGGCTGAGGCAGCAAGGAAAAGCTCCAGCAGCTTTCAACTGCTGGAGTCTTTCCCTGCCAAAGGCAGCTACACACTGTTTGTGTACCCACTGCAGTATGAGCACAGCCTGGTTTTCACTGTGGCATGTGGCTATACATACCCTGTATGGTACCGCCAAGCTTAGGGTATGTTTAAACTGCAGCTGTGAGTGAGCCCAAGTAGACAGACAAGATTCGTTCCAGTTTGAGCTAGTGAGCTAAAGTTAGCAATGTGCACACTGCAGCCTGGCTCAGGCGAGCTGCCCAAATTTGGATCCACGGGCTCAGGCTGACTTGGACCTGTGTATCTAGCCAGAGCTGCTGCCCACGCTGCAACATACATAGAGCCCTATGCAGATACAAAATTTGTATCCGCATCTGTATCCACAAAAATGAGCTGCAGATACCTGCATTGACATCCATGCATGTGGATGCCCACGGATATAAAGTGGATAGCCGCATGGATTTGCAGGGCTCTAAACATACGCACAGCAGTGAGGCTCACTACCTGGGCTGCAATGTAGACATGCTCTAAGTTGCTGTGCCATTATCTGTATCATGGAGATAACAGTACTTCTCTACCTCACAGGGGTGTTATGAGGGGTTCAGATGAGAGACAGATAAGTGCCTGCATTAGGGATGTTAAGAAATGAGTAATTCATTAATCATGTAGTCGACAAAATTTTTGTCAACTACAAAATTAGTCAATAAGGGGTAGCATTGCTACCAGTCTATCCCAGCTCCTGCTGCATCCGGCAACTACCTCTCCTGCGGCTCTGCACTACATGCACTTATACTGCAGAGTGACAGCAGGGTTTGATATAGGATCCTGGCATGAACCAGGACTGAACCAGCCTCCCTGTGTGACAGCTCAAAAATTCACTAGCGGGGGGAAGGAGGGTAGTGTTGCATGTAGTTGATAACGCTAACCGATAAGCACCCGCTTATTTGTTAAGCGTTTAGTTGAGTACACTGTTACATCCTATCTGCAATATGCATTAAGATTATGAGGTTTACTTGTGTTTTAGCTCAGCATGTCACAAAACATATCCCATGAAATCTCTTGTTGTGGTTTTGTTATTCCACTTATAATAGAATTGACAAGGGTGGCAAAGGCAGCCATTGGCAGATATCTAGGTCCTGTGTTCAAAAAGGACCTCTGAATTTGGGTGCAAGTCTCCAAGAATCCATCACAAGGAGTCTGGGAACAGCATAAAACTTTGGGAGCCAGTTCCCCTGATGAGAAAACAGGTTGGCCCTTGTCTCTCTCTGCCTCAGAACAGGCCCAAGGCACTGAACACTGAGCTGCAAGCTGAGCTGAAAGATACCACAGAACTGTGTCACTGCTGTGCCTTCTCCCACGCAGCCTGGAAGGCATAAAAAGGAGCTGCTGCTTTGATTCAGGAGCAGAAAGAAGATGCTGAAATACTCCCTCTCAAGTGGGAAATAAAGGAGACAAACCCTTACTAACACTTGAGGTGGAGGATCCCCTGCACCAAGAGATGAATATGGATAGAGACTCTCCTAGGTCATGTCTTCACTTGCCATGCTAAAGATTGCACTAGCACTGCCACTGAAATTATTCCTCCTCCTAGCAACCTATTCAATTTATTATTTCAATTAGTCCCCGCAGTGGAGCAATTACAATTAAACATACATGAGTTGGTGGCAAAAAAAAAAAAAAGCCAAAAAGGCTTGCTACCTATAGCTCATCTTATCCAACAACAAATGCAAGTAGAAAGTGTGCAAAAGGAAGTGGAAACACCTTGGTGGACAATCCCAGAGGATGTTACCCTACACCCAGTAGTCAAAAAACTTAGTTTAATTCTCATGGCAATACAAGCCATAACAATAATTGCAGTAATGGGAAACAATGTTCCTTCTAATCTTTTTCATCTATGTGCAGAATAATTTTATGTGCACCAAGGCATGTGCAAATGTGCACTACCAGGAGAAACAAAAATCCTAGCAGTGGACGCTCTGCTAATCAGCCTGGCAGCATTTGAATCTCTCCTGAGTGGTTGTACAAGCTCTCAACCTTCAGGGAACACTGATGGGAATGTGTTGCTACATGCAATGTCGAACCAAAAAAGCCAAATTACAACACCAGGTTAAAAAAAATAAAACTAGCTATCGACACTGCCACTGTAATAAATAATCATTATAAAAATACTTATTAAAGTTTTAAAAGCAATTGTTTTTACTTAAATAGTTTGTAAGGGCTTTTGGACAGCTTTATTCCTTAAAATGCTGTAAGATGTGTCAAACCAAATGTGTCATGAAACAAGTGTTTAAGGTATGAACATATACACGTGTGTATAGTTATAACCCTGATCAAATGCTAGCTCATGGACCATTTAAGTATAAAGGCCTCCTTGTGTCACGCACAGGTTATAAAGCACAAGTCTACACTCCAGTGGTGCTGGAAAAAAAATTAGGGTGTGGATGGTGAGCTACGCTCTCTCACCCACCTGCTTTACCTCGTCCACACCCCTCGCCCTCCTGGGCTGAGGCAAGATTGGGGATGGCTGCAGAGTCCTGGACACAGAGCCAATGGTAAGGACGCAGGGGCCTGAAATATAGCTGCTGGGTCTCTAGGCAGCAGTGCAGCCCCCACAGTGGATCCTGTGGGCCAGTGACCAATACAATCCCTGAGGCACCAGGGCCAGCAACCAGGACTCCATGGAGGTGGCAGCTGGGACTTCAGGTGGCAGTGGGCCTTTAAGCACAGGCTGCTGCTTACTCTCACAAGGAGAGGGAAGAAAAGTGTTGAACCCTCCCCCCTAATTCTCATAAACACTTTAAATAAGAAATGCTTATAGACGCGTTAGATTTGGAGTGCTTCACACAGCATTGTGGTGAGTAATAGGACTAAAAGTAGTAGGGAGGATTTTCTGTTGCACGAGGCAGTAACTTCTCAGTTCCTAGGGTCTGAAAATAGGGTGATGGTACTGAATATTAATAGAGATGTAGCCATGTTAGTCTGATCTTGCTAATACAAAAGAGAGGACTATGCAGCACTTTGATCTGAGGAAGTGGGTCTGGCCCACGAAAGCTCATCACTTAATAAACCATCTTGTCAGTCTTTAAAGTGCTGCATTGTCCTCTCTTTTGTTTCGGCACTGAATATAGTAACTGTTTCTTACAGGGTAGCAAAGGCACTGAGCACACAGTGGCTACTGGCAACCCACAGCTACGTGGGCCTGTATGCCACCAGCCTGTTTAGTGCCAGCTGAATCATCAGAGTGGCATGGGAAAGTGTCCTACTACAGAGGAAGAAATAAGGCATCCCTGCCTAGAAACTTTTGGGAGAGCACTGCTGACTGTCTCCACATGTTTTACTCAGCTCTCAGGAGGATAAAAGTGCCACCTCTCCCCCAGTACACCTGACAGGCAACTGAAAAAAAGATGCCAACCCTATCTCTGTTGTATCTCCACTTCATCTCATGTGAGTAAAACACCTTATAGTCAACACATATCTCTTGTTAACATGAAGATGGGCTGGGTGCCATCCTTAAAGTTAAACATTATTAGGGAAAAACAGATGCACATGCTTACCTCAGGTCCCCCTTCATCAGCCTCATCTGTGCTTGCCTGGTGGGACAGTTGAGGCTGTGGAGGAGCCTCAAAGAGGTCCTGGTATGGCTGGATACCCTGCCTCTGAGGCTCCCAGTCTCTGTGACTCCGGGACAGTGGGGTTTACAACTGTAACTAGAGCTGTCACTGTAGCATGGCATGGGGCTAGAGAACTGTTAGGGTAGACACAGCTCACCCAGTGTCTACACTTGCACTGCATCAATCTCAGTAAGTTAATCACAGCTTTTCAGGGAGGTTATGGTGCTGCTTTGCAGCAATGGGGCACTTACATCAGCCAGAGACAAATCAGAGCACAGAAACGGGCAGAAATAGGCCAATGTAAGAGAAAGTCCAAAGCACCATCCGGCTTCCAGCAGTTAGGAAGAAAAGTTGGTAGGGGTGTTTGAGAATATGTCTAGACGGCGTTGTTATTTCAGGATACCAGAAGTATCCTGAAATAGCAACAGCGCATCTTGTAAAAGCACTCGCTATTTCCCGAAACAGTGGGTGCACTATTCCAGAATCCCTGTAACCCTCATTCAATTTGCGTAGTGCAAATTGCGAAGCTTATTCCGACAGAAGGGTGCCGTCTAGATGCACCCTGAGACTGCTTTTGAGGATGACTGCAATATTTTGACAGGTTAAAACTAAATTTAGGCTGTGTCTACACTGCAAAGAAAAGTCAGAAAAAGATATGCAAATTGCGAACCGCAATTTTAGTATCTTTTTCTGCTTTTCTTCCGAAAGAGGCTTTTCCGACATTTGGCCCATCTACATGGGGCCAAATGTCAGAAAGAAAAAAAAACCTCCTTGGACGCAGCAGAGCTTTTCTGGGAGACCTCCGGTGCCCTGGAAAAGTGCTGCAGTTTAGACGTACCCTTACTTTGAGCTATTCCAGATTGTTGCTACATTTACACTGCAAGGGACACCTTCAGAATGGCACAGTCGACAACTCTGAGCAGTAAGCTGAATGTGACCCTAAGAGCGCCCCAAAGCCCAATGGCACCCTATTGTCATGATATATAGCCAAAAGGTGGCATGTAATATATCACTGGAAAACTGTTAACTGAGTGACCATTAATATTCTTGAAGAACA